GGGGGCAGGAGCGCCGGCTCGGTCTGCCAGAAGCGATCACAGGTCCTGACGATTAGGAAGGCCAGCGCGTTCATCTCACCCTCAGGCGTCGGGCTCCAGGGGACTCAGAGTATCTCCGGCTGCCTCAAGCGCAGTGGCGACAAGCGGGCGCGGGGTCCTGCGGCTTCTTGCATACGATCAACAACTTGGACAGGAACCAACACGATGAGTGCAAGCGTAGGCCACGACGCTTTTATATTCTACAGCGCCCGGCGTGCTGACGTCACGGGGAGAGGCGGGGTTTCGAGACCACAACCCGAAGGGTGGGAAGTGAAAGACCGGACTTCTCGCGGAGATTCCAGCCTTTGTAACGTCACGGCGGAGTTTCCGACACGCACCCCCCAACCAGCGAACTGTCAATCAAATGCGTGGTCCTGCTTCAGCAGCGAGCCGGTTCTCTCTTAGCTGAGGGCCAATGCCTTCCCACCCAAATATATTTATTTGTGTATTTATGTATTTATTTACTTATTTATTTATTTAAGTTCGTTAGTTATTTTGAGGCGAGTTTTGCTCTTGTTGCTCAGGCTGGAATGCAATGACGCTATCTCGGCTCACCGCAGCCTCCGCCTCCGGGGTTCAATCTCCTGCCTCAGCATCCCGAGTAGCTGGGATTACAGGCAGGTGCCACCACGCACGGCTAATTTTGTATTTTTTGAGCAGAGACGTAGCTTCTCCATGTTGGTCAGGCTGGTCTGGAACTCCTGACCTCAGGGGATCTGCCCGCCTTGGCCTCCCGAAGTGCTGGGATTACAGGCGTGAGTCACCGCGTCCGGCCTATTTATTTATTTATTATTTATTTATGTATTTTTCTGAGACGGGATTTCACCATGTTTGCCAGGCTGGTCTCGAACTCCTTACCTCAGGTGTTCTGCCTGCCTCGGCCTCCCAAAGTGCTGGGATTACAGGCGTGAGTTATCGCTCCAGGCCTATGTATTTATTTATTTTATTATTATTATTATTTTGAGACGGAGTCTCGCTCTGTCACCCAGGCTGGAGTGCAGTGGCCCGATTTTGGCTCACTATAAGCTCTGCCTCCCGGGTTCACGCCATTCTCCTGCCTCAGCCTCCCGAGTAGCTGGGACTACAGGCCCCTGCTACCATGCCTGGCTAACTTTTTGTATTTTTAGTAGAAGCAGGTTTTCACCGTGTTAGCCAGGATGGTCTCAATCTCCTGACCTTGTGATCTGCCCGCCTCGGCCTCCCAAAGTGCTGGGATTACAGGCGTGAGCCACCTCGCCCAGCCTGTTATTTATTTATTTTTTTGAGACAGAGTCTCGCACTGTCACTGAGGCTGGAATGCAATGGTGCGATCGGCTCACTGCAACCTCCATCTCCTGGGTTCAAGCAATTCTCCTGCCTCAGCCTCTGAGTAGCTGGGATTACAGGCATGCACTACCACACCTGGCTAATTTTTTATATACAGACAGGGTTTCGCCATGTTGCCCAGGCTGGTCTTGAACTCCTGAGCTCAGGCAATCTGCCCACCTTGGCCTCCCAAAGTGTTAGGATTATAGGCGTGAGCCACCGCACCCGACCTATTTATTTATTTTTTGAGACAGAGTCTCACTTTGTTGCCCAGGCTGGAGTTCAGTGGCGCCATCTCGGCTCACTGCAGCCTCCACCTCCCGGGTTCCAGTGATTCTCCTGCCTCAGCCTCTGGAATAGCTGGGATTACAGGAGTGTGCCGCAATGCCCAGGTAATTTTTGTATTTTTAGTAGAGACAGTGTTTTTCCACGTTGACCAGGCTGGTCTTGAACTCCTGACCTCAGGTGATCTGCCCGCCTTGGCTTCCCAAAGTGCTGGAATTACAAGCATGATCCACTGTACCCGGTCTCCTACCCCAATTTAGCCCAAAGGCCCAGCCTACAGCCCCCCATTTTCTTTCTTTCTTTCTTTCTTTCTTTCTTTCTTTCTTTCTTTCTTTGTCTTCTCTTCTTTCTGTTCTCTCTCTCCTCTTTCTTTCACCCTCCTTCCCTCCTTGCTTCCTTCCTTTCTCTCTTTCTCTCTCTCTTTCTTTTCTCTCTCGTCTAATCTCACTCTCTCTTATCTTTTTTCAAGACGGTTTCTGGCTCTGTCACCAGGCTGGAGCGCAATGTGTGTCTTTGGCTCATTGCAACCCGTCCACCTCGCGTCGGTTCAAGCCAATTCTCCTGCCTCAGTCTGCCGGAGTAGTTGGAGTACAAGGCTCGCCACCACGGCACAGCTAGAGTCTCACTATTCACATGCAGTTGGTTTCCTCCCTGAGTGCTGGGTGTCATTCGTTCCCATTTCAGCAAATGGGGAAACAGGCTTGAAAATGAAACCACTTGACTAACATAGTCAACAGCAGAGTCCAGATTCCTGCAAAGAGAATGAGTGTTAAGCACTATTGGATCAGGCACTTGGCTAGGCTCAGTGCTTTTAAAGAAATAATATTATTTGGCCAGGTGCGGTGGCTTCACGCCTGTATCCCAGCACTTTTGGGAAGCTGAGGCGGGCAGATCACGAAGGTCGAGATTGAGACCAATCATTGGCCAGCATGGTGGAAACCCTGTCCTTACTAAAATAGAAAAATTAGGTTACTCGGACGCAGGTGCTCATGCTGTAGTCCCAGCACTTTGGAGGCTGAGCAGGGCGGTCACAGGGTCAGAAGAGATCGGACAGACTATCTTGGCTACCCGCGTGAAACTCGGTCTCTACTGAAAATGCAAAAAACAAATTTAGCCGGCTGGTGGCGGGCGCCTGTTAGTCCCAGCTACTTGGGAGGCTGAGCGGAGAATGGTGTGAACCCTGGCGAGTTGGAGCTTACAGGAGCCGACTCATTCCCACCTGCACTCCAGCCTGGGGCACAGCGAGCAAGATCTCCGGTCTTAAAAGGGAAAAAAAATGAGTTGGGCGTGGTAACAAGGCGGCGTGCCTGTAGTACCAGCTACCAGAGGAGGCTGAGGCAGGAAGAATCACTGAACCCAGGATGCAGAGTTTGATGCCGAGATCCGCGCCACTGCACTCTCAGCCTGGCAACAGAGAGCGAGACCTCTGTCCAAAAAAAAAAAAAATTGAC